TGATCAAGTCCAATGAATCCATACGGCTTTGGCTGTTATTTCTTTTGACAAACAATACAGAGGTCCCTGCTTAGGGTCCTGCCGTTCAAATGTTCACTCACTGTCAACTGAACAAGTTAAACACTAGCGCGTGGCTTTGCCTTTCAACTGCCGTGACCTTACGGCCCCGTCTAACTAACAAGCATTGAAACCTTTAACTGGGCGTGTCTGAAGCTGGCGATTTAAGAGGCGAGCAAACCAATCACATCTCCCGCCCCAGACATACAAGCAAATAACTAATGTAAAACAAAACTGGATATAAACTCCTCCAAACCAGGCGAGCATCGAGCCTCAAAAAGTTGAACATTGTTCAACTTTGATTGCGATTAGAGCTCGTGATATGCTTGCAAAAGCCATGCCCATGGCTCCCCACAAATGCAGTTCCGGCCGAAGATTTAAAAATCTTCTACGTCAACCCCATTCAAGTTGAATGGGCGAAGCGTTGAAAAAGCAATTTTTGTGGTGCTGTTAGTGGAGACGACCGTTAGCGCTGGCTTGCTTTCATACTCGCCGTATAACTGATTGTGACGAACTCTCAAATGTCAATTAAATTTTGTGGTTATTAATTGTCGTTGTTTTTGTTCCACCATGGGGGGATGTCTGCCTGCGCGACTGCTTGCATACCGCGATTTTAATGGCTGTTTCAGCCACCTTGCTGAAATAATTGCAGACTCGTGAAAGCCCATTTGTCGTTTAATTTTGGGCCGCGTCCAGATCCAAGAGAAAAAAAAGTGTTTTATGTATTTTCACGTCATCAATTTTACGTCATGCGATCCGGCTCTCGTGTGGCTGTTTAGAGGGCACCGTCGATCGGTAGAAGAGTGATATCGGCCATATCGATCGGTGACCGATCCGATCGGAGCATCCTAATACTTCCATAATAATTCATAATCCTTCCAACACACATTGTAAAAGATAACCTATGTAAGTTTAAGAAAATCATTCCAAATATGTACATCTTCTGATGTCTATCCCCCTAGTGTGCCTTGGCAGTCTCAGAGCTGAACATGGTATTGCACATTTTAGCTTTGAGTGTTACTGACCTGAGATGTTTTTATTACATGAATTAAGGTGACTGAGGCTTTTTAACATAGACAGAGCACAACTGAAACATAACATCTGAAACGATGTCACAGCATAATACACTTTTTGGGGATGCAACTTGGGATGTGAGGAGTACACGGCTTAGAACGGGTGTGTCGCCTACTGTCCTGCCAGTGTTGGCAGGACAGGAGAGTGTGTGCACCAGTCTGCCTTGATCTATGAATTCATGTCCGTGAGACTCACTGCTGCCCACAGCTGTTTTATAGAAGGAAAACCTCCTTCACTTCACGAAAGTGTTTTAACCACACACACCTCTATATACACACACACACACACACACACACACACACACACACACACGGTCGCGACGCAAATAGCAGATTATTCAGATAATGGCGACAGAGCAGGTTAATCCTAATGAGATCAATTATGAAATTAGCCTAAAGAAAGGTTGCATTGCAGCACACACCTTACACACCCACACGCATACATTACACCCAAACACACACACTCAGCCGGGTAACCACAAATTATCTGGATAGTAAATTACGACAAAAAGTTATACTCCTTGAAAATATTATATTGATTTTCATGTAAATTTAGTAAAATCAAGCAATTACTTTTTAAAATAAACGTTTACTTTTTATTTGTAGATTTAGTTGTTGAGTAGACTATTAAAAGTGGTGTCTTTAATTTCTTTAAACGGTTTTTTATTTTGGAATGTAGTGCCAATTTCATGTTTTGCTGCTGTTAGAAAAATATAATAATAATAATAATAATAATGATAATGATAATAATAGCAATACAAATAATAATACTCATAATAATAATAATCCGACCTGCTAGGTGCGGTCTGTTGGAGTGGATGTGTCCGGGGCTGAGGGGGCTTCCAGCGGAGTTCCTCTCCAGCAGCAGGCTGTGGTCAGCCCGGCACAGCAGCTCCTCTTCCCGCAGGGAGAACTCGTCTCCCGGCAGCAGCTGCCTGCTGCACACCGAGCAGCGAAAACATTCGATGTGGTAGACGTTATCCCTTGCTCTCATCACCAAATCGCTGCTGCTGAATCCCAGGTTGCATTTTGCGCATTTTATTCCAAACAGCCTGGAGAATTGAGGGAAATTGTCAAAAATTTAAAAATCAAGGTGGAAATGTAAAAGTGAGAGAAAAAAAAACGTTTAAATCTTTCGAAAGACAACTCAGAGTTGTACTACGTTGCATCTTGTTGTCTAAGAATGCTTTTATACTCTTTTTATTTGAAAACATAATAATATAGTGTTGATGGAGTTTTGCTTCCTTTTTCGTGTAAATATGTTGTTACAAATGTCTTCTAATTTGTGTGCACTTTTAAATTTGTCTTAATTGTTCTTTCTTTTATAATGTTTCGCTTCTTCCTAATAAATATTATTATTGAATGTAAAAACGTTTAACTGTAATCAAGATGTGATTCAACATAAATCAGAATAAACAGAGAATATTTCCAAACTCCTACCTTACATAATCTCTTTTGCAATAGGTTTTGCCGTCCCGGACGAAACAAGTGGAGGACTCGTCCAGGTACTGGCTGCACTCTGCGCACTTCAGGCAGGCTGCGTGCCACTCCATGTCGGGAGACACTCTCAGTATGTACTGGTCATGGATCTGACTTCCACATCCTACACACATCGCGATTCCTGGCTTCTCTGCAAAGAACCCACATCACTGTTATCACAGACTGAAAATGCAGCACAATAAACATACAATAAAACTGAAGTATTTTAACAAAATGTAGTCCAGCCTGTATGACTCAGTTTTGCAGTGCATTTTGCAGACTGGACAAGTCTTAATGTTTTGTAACAGAGGAAGACTTTTCGTCGCTGAATTGTTATTTATAAAAAAGCGCCTAAAAAATACACAGGAAAGAAAATGCTACACAATTGTCGATTCATTAAAATAATAATAATATGTCATTGAGCCCAAAAAGCTATCGCGACGAAAACAAAATCTGCCCCTTAAAACTCCAGCGAGCAGCTTACTTACTTTTGGAATGATCCCCCATATCACCCAAGAAAGAAGAGCTGAAAATAATATCCACCATACAGGACGGATAAAGGGGACTGTGGTAGATGCAGAAAGATGTGAGGAGATGACTGGCCCTCGGCTGCCTCCCTGATAACGTCTGTCTCTCCGGACTGGGAGGGTGCAGGGAGGGGGGTTGCAGGGTCCCACACGCTACTGCTCTGACGTCATGACGTCTTTAGTGGGCTTTCCAATCGCTCCACTGCCTCCTTTTCTCCCAACATGTAAAATAATATATTTTATGACATGATCTTCCATATGCAGATGGTCCTATTGTGTTTCTTCAAACGAATAAATAACATTATATTTAACTGCAACACCATGAGTTTTCGATCAAATTATTCACATTAATTTCCCATCGATATTCAACAATATGTGGCAAAACTTATAGTATTAAAATATTTACCACAAAACGACTCATACATTATTCAAATTAGCCTACATTTGTTTGTTTATAGAATTAATCAAAACGTTATCACAATAAATATGTTATCAGGTTATCACAAATGGTTCTCCTGCACAGTTTCACACAGGTTTGAACGCTAAGTCTGTTTAAATAAAGTTTAATTGTGATTTTAGGATAATCTTCATCAAACATCCAAATACATTTGTTTCCATGTCATGATGAAACAAATCTTCAGACGACAATAGTTGCATTGTTGATCTTTGACACACAAAAAAAAATTAGGGCAGATTATGGCCTTGATATTTTTGAATTTAAAAAAGTAAAACAAACCATACATAGGCTACTCGTAGTCATTTGTTTTCATGGGCATAAGGCCAGCGGTAACTGAGGACTGTCGACAAGGCTCATCTACTCGAGAACAAGGCCATCTATTGGAGGAAAAGGAGAACTGCAGTAGAGGAGGGGGGGTGCTGGCCGGGTGAGCAAACAGTATACTGGACTTTAGTGTCATTCAGTCTGTATCTGTCTATAAACATTTTCTTGAAAACTAAAGATCTAAACTAACATTCCTTAGTCTGCATATAGTTTCTCGATGGAAGTGGGGAAAAAAATTCTTTTTAATTTTCAAATAATGTATAAGCAATTAAGGAGAAGCAATTACGGCTTAATACATTTACTTTCTTTTGGTAAACTAAAATAACACACGTGTAGTATTTCCCTTGACAGGTTCGATCTGTTTTAAAGGAACAAATAACGCAGACAGTTGCACAATGCCACTGTTTGCCGTGTCTTTGTTCAAACACCTCCTTCCTCCCGAGTCCTTTCCTCCTTAATCCAGAGAACAGTTAATAAAACCAAACAAATACAGCCTTTCCTCCTCCTGTCTGATGACCGGTCGTGGGGATATGTATGATGGATGGTTTAAGGCTATAGCTCAACGTATAATACCCACATTTTAGACCTGCTCCATGTGTCATCATCCATGGCTATTGGCTATTGCAAGCAGTTGCACCTGACGGAGGACACAGTGCAGGACTCAGAGGAAGCGAACAGTGTTTATATCAATAATTCTTGGTGCATAAACATCAAAGTGGATGGCATGATTTCGCATTTTGTATGTAAAAGAGCCCTGTTATCTGCCCATCAATGGTTTTGTTGCTGCTGCATTCCTCCTGAAGCAAATTCAAAAGGTACATGAATGCACAAAAGTTCTTCTTCTGTGTTGTTGCGTGTTTCTTGTATTGCATATTGAGCTGCAAACCTGTGTTATAGAATGACAATAAATGATCCTTCAATTGTTGTGTAGCCTACTGTCACAAAAAAGAAATGGCAAATTACATGATAATAATAATAAAAACAAATCATAAAAAGCAATTTTCTATGTGATAAATGTGTCAAGATTATATATATCTGTTTTGTCAGGGTATAATGCTTTATACCCTGACAAACATTGCAGTTCTTTTGTTGGTTGGTATCTCAAAAAATTGACTAAATTGTTAATCTTCTCTCTTGTAGTGTTTTGTAGTATTGGAAACAAATTGCTCTCGATGCAAATAATCAGGGACACTTTAAGAACCATACCGCTCTTCAGTTGTGACTTTTATTTTGAAAGGCACAAACGACACATGCTCCCCCTGCTTAAACAGTGACTTGATTGCTTCAAGACTGCTCCTAACTAACTTTAGTTTGCTCACGACTGAGACGACCCTTCAATCATGTTGGCTATACTTTATTATCCGTGATAGAAGAGGAGTTTGGGAACATTTGGTGAGTAGTTGATCCTTGTAATTGATTCCCGGTAGAGTCTGTGGGTACTTTGCTGCAAGAAAACCGTGATGTAATCTCCAAGCGTGGCTTTGTTATTGTAGGTTCAAAATATGGTCAAATCAGGAAATACCGTGGGGTTTTATCCCTCAATGCTTTATTACAGGGGAGTTTAGACGCAAACTAGTTGATGTGTTTATAAATGTACCTTTCCAACTTACTGACAACAGATTTCAGGTTTTTATATTATTATAATCAATGAGTGATAATCACTGCAGCTCTCATAAGTCAATCACTGGTGTTAAGAATACATACTAAATACGTAGGTCCTTACATATTTATTTGTGTTATGGACATGGCCATCATGGAGTAACAGTCTCACATCTTTTGAGACCCTGTTGCCTGGCTTCAGTAGGCCGTCTTCATGTTATTTTACATATGTTGCCACACACAGGGTCATTATGTGCAGTATTTCTGCACAATAGCATTCCTGTCATAAGATATGCTGAAGAAAATGCTTCTGGCCTTTGACATAGATGGGTTTACTGATACTTGATTGTTTATCAAACCATTTTAAATTGCAATTAAAGAAGCATGACCAATTACCTACAAGATGTTGGCCGTCATGCCAAAAATACCCAAGCAATAAAAGTGAACATCACAGTATTACAATGTTAGATATTATCATTCTTTCTCAATTTTATGTTGAAGTCTTCTAAATGTCTAAAACGTGTTCCTCCTGACAGAGAACAACAACAGACTGCCACATTCTACTTTGAATGTCATCACTGCTGTTGGCTAGGTCGAGAATAATTTCTGAAGGCCTGCAGTATTTGTGAGGGACCAAATCTAACAGCAGGAATACAATGATACAAATATACCTGCAGCTCTCGGCCCAAACTGGTCAATGCTTTTCAAGAGCACTGGTGATCTACAGAGACGTGCTAACCGTGCATCTGCTATCTCCTGTCTGTCCTGTAGTTTTTTCCTAAAGACAATACAAAATAGCTTACAGAGACATGTTTTACTTTGGAGACCATTCAGGAGTGCAAGAACCGAAGGAGATACATGATAAAAAAATATGGGACATAAACATCTGTTTGTTTGGTCTTGTTTTTAGTATTATACATATGAAATCAAATGTAAACCGTTCAAAACATTGTTTGCTATGAAGTTATAAAGTATACTTCATAAGTCTACAAATATAAAGTTGGGGAAGTTGTTATAGCTACAGAAATCAATCTGTTTAACATCTGATTGAGTACACCCAGACTCACTCTCAGTAGAATGATTCTCTATTATTCATGAATTGAAGTGTTTGGGCGTGCATACTAAAACAATCAAATATGATATTATGCTTATTATATTTTGCAACTGGAAACATGTCTCAATGTTGTAATGCATCTAAAAGTAGTTTTTGTTTTTAATGAGTGACTTCCTCCTGTGTTCTGATTGTTCAATAGAACTGTCAGCTTGTACGTCTAATGGCATTTCAATTGAATTAGGATGCATTCAATTAAATTGTATGTATTTTAATACAGCTTATATTGATCTTTATTTCTAGGCTTCATTTTATTTAAAAATAATGTGCAGTGTATAGTTAATTCAATGTGACATCCTCACTTGCATCACTCACTTAAGATGTCCTTCAGGTATGGTGTTTCTCAGACAAAGAATAGTATCATATTCAAGCCACTATGTTTTATTATTGGAAAAAGGGTGGTTTGAATATAAAATATGTTTGTTGCAGATAGTTGTAAAAACCAGGCTGACTATATTCTTATGCCTTTACATAACCTTTTCACCCTTCCCTCAGAGAGCTCATTATAACCATTACTTTACCTTTTATAGTCTCTGCCACTAAACATCTGTGAGAGCTTTGATCCATCGGCTTAAAACATTTTGTGGTTCCCTTTTATTTACACAATCTCCTCCCCTGAGTGTCTGTTAAGCTGGATGTGGCTACTATTTCAGAGAACACTGAGGTCAAATCCCAAGACACCTCTATCAGGACCCTGCTTGTAAGCCTCTTGTTGTGATAGACGCAGTAAGTGGCGTAAACAATGAAAATGAAAAGAGGACTAGGAAAAAGTCAAAACAACCGATACCTCTTGAATACCATCCAACTATTTGCTCAAGGTTCTTTGTAACGAACTCTATGTCTTTGCTTCTTTTCCCTCAAGGATAAGTTGAAAACCAATATTATTATAACTCATAATAATGATATATCGCACACAGAGCCTGATTAATTCTGTAGACGCTTGCATTACGTGCGGTGCAGTTAATCATTCAAACCTTTTGGCAACGTTTTGATCATGATGCTGTGACTTATTTATGCCTGCTGTATTGTATATGGCATTACCCACAGTGCATTGCAGAAGAATACAATATTGAATGTAGTCAAAAATCATTATGGGCACTAATTGTTTTGCTAATGCTGCAGGTCACGGGTTAACTTCCCGAGTGTTTCATGTATGTATGTATAGTGACAGGAAATGTCACATGCAGCGTGGTTGTTTGTGACCTGTTAATGACGGCCTGATCAAGCTCTCCTAGCTGCCACTCCAGTATAAAAGCCTCCCTGAAGAATCTCTAATCACAATTTGATGGGGCCCATTAACCTCATGAAATATATATGTGTGACTGAAATCATCCACTTAAACTTTGGCAAGAGCAACATGTTCTTGTTTGGAATTCAGGGGGGCTCTCCTGGGCTGCATTACTGAACTTTTCACAGTGACTCGTTGTCTCTTGAATGTTTTAGGGTTCGATGGCATTTTGCCTTTATTGTCAGATCCATGAGTAATTTATTACGCCAATTCCTGCAAACTCCCGGGGCTGGATCCAGTTGAAGTTGTGCCAACTTGTTTAAATATGTTGGAGCGTCTTTACATTTTCAAGGAAAAAAGGATGAAGTGCTGCTGCCGAATGGGGGGGGCTTTATTAGTTTTTGTTTTATAAATATTAGTAAATGGAAAATTGCTATGTGACATTTAAAAGAAACCAAGAAAGTCAGATCACCACATAAACGACCACATTAGATACATGATGGACTTTTTTATTTAAATAACCCAAGCCTTAAATACATATTCTTATATTGACAATCATTGTCAAGATTTTGGTTCAGATATCAGAAGACAGTTGTGTATATTTTGATCTCCACTAAGAAGGATATGTTTTTGGTTTGATTAGTTTGTCCGTCTGTGTGTCGGCAGGAAAATGCAAATGAATGTTGGTCCGGATTTCATTCTACTGTTTGATAGAACACGGAAGAAAACATTACATTTTGGAGCGGATTCACAAATTATTTATGACTTTCATTAACATAGCGAGATGGGACATATAGGGCCATACTGTAGATGGGCCTTGGCGGAGGTCTGAGCTCTCGGAGTGCCCTTGTAGTTTATTTATTTATCTACAGTTTCCCCAGGTCTTCTGTGGGGCTTCCCCGTGGCTCTAAACCAGAAGTGACACATCTGAGCTCATCAGAAATAAAGTTGTGTTTAGACGTCCGGTTCCATCGTATAATTTTGAAGGCTTTCGTTTCCTAATTTTGATAAATAATAAAAGCAGTTTTGGATATGATAGATATAATGGCTTTCATTGTTCTTGAACCAAATACTTATTTTTTAGATGTTATCGTGTCCATCATATCATAGGAAGATCTTGTGTGTTCAGTTCACAACCTAATTCGTTCATTCATCGGCCGGTCGTGGCTTATCTCTGTTAAAAAACACACTATTTGTATCTGATGCATTAACAGCAAAAGGCCATGCAGCATGTGATGTGTCTCAGTGGGAATAAAACTTCCTGTCTTTGTGTTTATTCAGGACAAGGCAGAGTGGTGACAACTGTAAGCTGCTGTAAGAGCTGGAGGATCAAATGAAGACTGCAGGTATTTTCTTTTTCTTGTCTGCTTAGTCCATTTCTTTTTACATGTCATGTGTGTATCATGATGTGTGGGTTTTTAAATCAAGAATGTTTGGGCTTTTTTCTGTACATGTATATAAATGTATTGTGGACCCTTTTGGTTTTAGATTAAATTCAAAAATAGATATTTTATTTTTATGAATAAAATAAAGCTGAATACTGTTGATTGTCAGAAAAAGCATGCCGTAACATTGATTGATCACAATTAAATAAAACAGTCAAATCTATGAATATAGGAACTAATATTCTCAAAAAATGACTAAATGTTTAGTAACATTTCGAGATACTTACAACTGTCAGGATTAGTCACACTTTGGTAAATATTCTATTTTCTTTAAATAAATAAAAAGATAATAATAATACTCAAAAAGCTCAAATGTAATTTGACAGGTATATATTTGAAAGAATGTCCTTTTAGGACTCTCAGCACCATTTGATCCTCGAAACCTCCTGAAAGGCTGGTTTAAAGCTCTGAATGATTTACCCTAACCAATAGAGAGTTAGCTGTTAGTGCTTTGAAGCCAGTCTTATGTCCAGTGCCAGCCAAAACTGAAATTAATACAAGCACTCAGTAGGTTATAAGATATTAAAAATGTGTAAACGGATATATCTTCAAAACATTTTGTAATAACCTTAAAGACAAGTATTCCTTTCAATACATAATGGCAGTATATGTCACAATAAATGGTTTTTATTTATCCCATCAGTGATGGTATGTGTGCAGTTATTTATTTTCTGACATAGTCCTCAAAAATGCCTCAGCGAGTAAAACAACAAATCACATCCTCATGCGAGCGAGGGCGTTCTGAGAGGGGAACCATGTTGCAGATTTATAATTCATAATTCTTCAGAGTTAATGCAGTATTCACACGATAATTAGTATTAATTTTTGATTGGTGCCCCAGGGCAGCCCTGCTTTGTTAGGCTGAAGAATCTGTGCCATTATTACCTTATCAGTGTAACCGTCAGCTGCCTGTTTTATTTTACAAATGCAAAGCTTGTATTTTATTATCAGCTGCTCTCATCAGCACAGAGCGGCGGCCTCGTTGCTTATCAGCAGCTCCGTGTCACTTAAATGAGGAAAGAAGCATCTCTGTTTGGCCCAGTCACAACAACTCCATCAGTGTGACGCCTCTGAAACTGTTGGCTTGTGCCCATTGAAACAAAGAGAGAACAAATCAAACTTCAAGACTATGCTTTGAAATGTATCAATTCATATTTATTAGAAATGTAATTATAGTTCATTAAATATTAAGCTTAGATTATTTCGAATTTAACAGAATTGTCTGAAGCAAAAATGTTTGTGTATTCCAGTCAGTGGACAAAATAACGTGAACACCTGATGCAATCTGATGCAATACATGTTATTGTTGCAGGCTATCTCGTGTGTTATACATAGACTATCATTTTGACATTTTAACATATGTGTGCACAACATTTTTTTAATCTCTTTTCAATGGCAATACATTTAAAACTTTAATCTTATGTTTTTTAATACAGATTAGTCGACTGACTCATATATTTTCTGCAACTATTTTGACGATTCCTATAACGTTTTGGACTGCTATTTGTAGAAAGCATCTATTTAAAGGAGATATTTTGGCTTGAAATATAGGTGGCAATTGTTCCCTATTTTCTGACTTTTTGTAGACCAAACAATTAATTGATTAATTTGGAAATCTACAGCAGATTAATGGATGTGTGAGTACAGGCTGCATTTTTGGGTAAAACAGTCCAGGCCTTACTTCTTGTGCCAGGTGCTCCATAATGTTGTGTTTACTGACCAGCTGATTATCCCAGTTGTGTGCACAATCTGCCTGTTTTGTAAAGCACTCATGTTCTCACACCTGAGGGAAGCTTTTCTGTGTGAAGCAAGAGGTTTCAGCATCACTTTGGGGTATTTTACTAACAGGACAGCAGGTGCTGCGCTCCCTGACCCGCTCCCTTTACCAGCTGTGTGTGTGAGCATGTGGAGACCAAATGGCAGACAGCCACAGCTCAGGGAAAACTGACCGCGCTTGGCAAATCCACCGGTGGCTCTGGAAACCCCGAAGCTGCTGCCTCAGTCGGCTACTTTCCAGAGAAAACTTTGGAAAGCTGTTTGTATTCAGCTGGAAGGCAAAGGGGGGGTGCATTTTTTCTCTCTCTGAAGTGAAGAGAAAAAAAGCCCCTCTAGATTGACAGCGCCTTTCATACTGTATTATCCGGCCTGGCTTTTAACTCCAAGAGAACTGTGTTCACAAATTGATGCTCTGCTCCTCTGGGGCTGTAGCTGAAACATTAAATTGTACTGAAATATTCATATGTGAGTGCATTTAGCTGAGAGCAATTGATGTGCGACTCCCTAGAGGCCTGATGGAAATGTTGCAGGGCCCCAGCTTGAGCGGGCAGACACCCTGAGCTCTGGACGGGACAGTGATTGTGATTTAGCCCAGGCTCCCGAGCTAGACTAAGTTTAAAGGCTCCTCCGTTCAGGACGGCTGATGTCAGTGTCTGCCCAGGTGGCCGCAGACACAGCAAAGTGTGTGGTGCCACAAACTTACAGGCTATGACAGATTTTAAAGGTCCATAATGCACTTTTCATGTGTTTCTCATGTCCCTGGTGTGAAAAGAGACTCACAAAGTAAAAATATAATAAAATAAAAAGTATACAAAAGTTTCTCTATTCAGTTCACTTCTCCCTACTGTGTCAATATTTAAGTTGTCAAACTGCAACTTATTTAGTGAAACATTGCAGGTTTTTGATGCTAGTTAATACGTTTTAAATGGATACATTCTTCACTCAAAATATTTTTATATGCTTTTACATTCAAATGTTAAAGTATGAAGTTGTGCTATTTAAGTACCGTACTTATTTGTAATTAACATTATGGGGGAAACTTCTGAAGCAATTGGAAACAGGACTCAGAGAGGCACGAGGAGAGCTGGAGCTTTGATGGCAAACACTGGTGGTTTATTTGAAGTTACATTNCCTCAAACACACACATGGACACACACACTTGCTATATATACACACACACACACACACACACACACACACACACACACACACACACACACACGGTCGCGACGCAAGTCGCGACCGTGTGTGTGTGTGTGTGTGTGTGTGTGTGTGTGTGTGTGTGTGTGTGTGTGTATATATAGCAAGTGTGTGTGTCCATGTGTGTGTTTGAGGAACTGTCATCTTGAGAGCGCCTGCAAAGAAAGAGAACAAAGCAAATGTGTGAATAATGTTCACTTCCTGCTTGAAAGCGATCAATTCAAAACTCTGTATACAGCTCAGAGCGCACAAACAGGCCTCCAGCGGGGAAACCGGAATCATTTTATATTTCAACTTCGTTCCTTTAACCTAATTCAGATGAGAGAAATTCACAATAATGCTAAATGCACCCATGAAAAAAAATGTAGGCCTAATAATAATAATTGTAGGCCATTGAAACTCACACAGTTTTTTTTCCATTCAAGATGTACATCTAAATAGTTGGTTTTTCATCTAGAAACTTCCCATAAATAATGAAAGTGTTGTTTTTGTCTTCAAATACCCCTGTAAACATAAACATTTGATTTTAACCAATTGCAGACATTTATATAAAACATAATTAAAATCTAAGGCAGATCATTATTATTGCAAAAACAATCCAAGCAATGTTAAGGGAAACAAGTCGCACACTGAGATAATGGGCTGCTGAACTGTATCGAAATGTGAACGGATTGTTGACGCCTTCGCAGTTTCTCACGGTGTTTTCCACCTCCTCTGTCCCCAGCAGACCCGGTTTCGGTGCGGCAGGCCCCGCATCGGAACCACGTCCACAAACAGTCGGAGAAGACGACGCGGATCCGGACGGTGTTGAACGAGAAACAGCTCCACACCCTGCGGACCTGCTACAACGCCAACCCGAGGCCCGACGCGCTGATGAAGGAGCAGCTGACGGAGATGACCAGCCTGAGCCCCAGGGTGATCCGGGTCTGGTTCCAGAACAAGCGCTGCAAAGACAAGAAGAGGACCATTCTGATGAAGCAGATGCAATCGCAGCATCACAGCGATAAGTCTATAAGCCTCTTCGTAAGTCAGGCCACTTGATTACTTCAAATATTCATTCATTCCTGTGTTCAAGTGTTTTGTTTGTTTTTTAAAACCATGACCAAGGTACATTTTGATTTATTTTCAATTCACCCAGTTGTACAGGCTACCTATTGAGGCTGGCATATTAATGCAAGAGTGTAGTGATAACAGGCAGATCATTGCTTTCAAATATTTTAATTTGTAAAAATTAGTGGCTGTTTAGCTTGTGAATATCACTGTTTGCATGTGGATTCCTCTTTTTTTTACCCCTGTTAATCACCAGCCTGTAGTTTTACTTTTTAAACCAGCTTTAGGTTTTATTATTTACTTAAACTAAGACACAGTATAACAGGTTCCAGTTGGCTCCAGTGCTGTCCTGTATTCAAACTTTAGGTTATTGAATAATTTATCAACTGCTTTGGCTTCAGTTGCTTGACCTGAAAAATGAAAACATCCTAGTCTGCAGCCAGGCTTGGTCTGCGTCCCGGACACATATCCTGCTCTGACACCATAGTTTAATCTTTGCTCCAGCTAAAAGAAAACCATGGGAAAAAGCAAATGGCATATGAACATGCCACTTTCTATTGACAAAAAGTGTCTATAGAGTCATGAGCAATTTGCACATTTGTGCAGATCTTTCAACAGTGATATTGATGCAGGACTCAAAATGCTTATCCTGTGTTTTATTCTTTTGTCAGAATCTTCAGGGCCTAACAGGGACACCTCTTGTGGCTGGGAGTCCTATCCGACATGAGAGCTCCATGCAGGGAAACCCAGTGGAGGTTCAGACATACCAGCCTCCATGGAAAGCCCTTAGTGAGTTTGCCCTGCAGAGCGACCTGGACCAACCAGCCTTCCAACAACTGGTGTGTTTATCTATCCATTCTGCTTTTAACATGCAGATTTACACACACACACACACACACACACACACACACACACACACACACACACACACACACACACACACACACACAGGGAGACCACATGTATGTCAGCATTATGTCCTCATGTCAGCAGAATTATGGTTTTACAACCAGGTTTTCAAAATAAAAGCCTGCATATTTATAATATTCGGACTCTTTGTTCCTGTCTGTTCAGGTGTCATTCTCTGAATCGGGATCTCTCGGAAACTCCTCGGGCAGCGACGTGACTTCTTTGTCCTCTCAGTTACCGGACACCCCGAACAGTATGGTACCCAGCCCAGTGGAGACGTGAAACAGGGCCCCTCAGACCTGTCGGTCCCCCCACCCCCCCTGCAAGGACAATTGCAGCATGATCCCGGTCCCTGCATGTGACCAGCTCATCATATCGCCCAAACTACAGAGAGGAGAGTGTTTTTTATTTCTTGACATGGAGGAGATGGAACCAAGAAAGCACTGATTGACTCCGAGTTTTTTTTCGGGAGCTTTCATTGACAAAAACTAAGCAGAACAATTGTTGCATGACTTAATGGAGAAAGATGTACAGAAGACCTCCCTGTGGATATACTACAAGAAACCTTCCCTCAAAAACAAATTGGAAACATTTCCGTGTCAGATAGACATTCTGCGATTTTATTGTGATCATATTGTGTCTTGTTTCTTCAATATGAGAAATGTTTGATACATTTATTGCGTTGTCGAGTCCTGTTGACTCTTTGTCTTAAGGTCAGAGCATGATAATCTGCAAAATATTCGTGTTGTAAAATACTTTATCTTAAGGCCAGGTTGTTTGAGCTACTCGAACAAAAAGTAAATTATTGTTATATTATTTATTGTTAGGAGAGCGATTCGTAAAGGGATTATTAACTGATACAAAATAATAAAAAAAAACACGCTGAATACTACATAATGTGTCTTGATGACCAATTTTTGTACAGGCAGTTTCTTCCTTTCGCTTTTCTGCATTCGCAAGCCATATCGCAATAATTAAATATATTTGAAAATGCAGCAAAGTATCACGTTTTAATTTTCCATTGCAAAAGTAAGACGACAAACGAATTGAAACATAAGTAAACTTGTTTATTCCAGTGCTCTTATGGCGAGAGTCAAATTCATTGTCCAGATCCAAAGCGGCAACACATCGTTTCTCCACATGACAGCGAGTCATGCGTGCAAATACAATGCTTAGTCACAAGCGATTTGAGGATATATTCAAACAGTACAAAAACATTCATTTTAGTTGCACTGAATGTTGTTTGTCTTGTTAAACGAAAATCAACTTGGCCTGCCTGCTTGAAACCCTGCAGCAGGCTCTGTTGTCTTATCGCTCCCCTCCATCTGCGGTGTTTCCCCCTTCGGTTATGGAGCAGGAATCGGCCAGTGGTCATTTACTATCTGGAGGGCAAAAACCTGCTGTAAATTGTGTCAGTCCAGTTGCTCTGGTTGAGTCACAAGCTGGTCTAGACAGCGCGGAGGGATCGGCGACCTCTTATCTAGTCCTGGCATCACCTGCAAGCGATAGCCTACACTGACTGAAGCCACAACAAACTAACTAAACACCCCCTCCATATACACACACACACACACACACACACACACACACACACACACACACACACACACACACACACACACACACACACACACACACACACACACCCCGAAGCCCCTCGTTTGTGAGGGGAGCAGAGAGCAGCTCGTAAAGGGTCACTTCTCCTCCTCAGTTTATTTTTCTTTCAGTGAATTGCGTTATTGCGCACGGGTCAGCCGGGATGACAGCCCGGGCTAAATGAACTGACCTCCTCTACACAGTGGGCAGAACAAAACAAATCGGCACGGAACATCTGTGGATATTTATGTTTTAAGAGAGCGAGATATTCTATCAAAGGTTATTAATTAATTAATTTGTTCGATCTGATCAGATAGTGATCATTTCACTTGTCTTCGATGCAGTTTTGGCAGAAAAGGAAAACATGTAGACCTATTTAATGGCAAGAAAATACTTTTTTCATTTTGGAAGCAACTTTAATTCTTCTTCTTCTTCTTCACTGATTTCCCGAATTTACTGAATTTAAACAAAACTAGACTCAGTCACTTTTTAGTGAGATTGTAAATGATTGCCGATTTTATTTTGATTTCTTAAACGCTGCAAAACAAGAAGTAATTTTTTTCCGTTTCTCTTTACACTGATTGTGTCTTAATCGGAAGTTTGAATGACAAAAGACAGATAATAGATGTGTAATTGAGCAATTTCAAATGAGATAAGTAAACAATGCGAGCAGATTAAGATAACAGAGATAAGTGAATAAATAACAATGGCGTTTACAGACAAGAATGCAGATCATTAACTGTCTCCATCAGAGCATTTGTGGCTCCACATGTTTCCAAAACAGCTAATTTACAGCATTTATACTGCGTAACTCATCCCCTAAAGGCTAAAACGAGATAGACCAAGTTAAAAAATAAATTACATTAAAAGGAAAGGAAATTAGTACTAAGCTTTATGAAAAAATATTCCCAACTATCTGCGTTTAGTATAACCCATACACAAAATAAAAAATGTTGAAAAAGGTTCGTTTTGATAACGTTTTTTTCAAAATGTAGGATTTTTAATTGTTCCAATGAATCCAAAATGTGCAGAAATTTACAAGACTTCAATTACATACTGTATCAGGAAGTACAAAATAATCTAAATGAATATAGGAGACGCTTTAAAAACATAATGCCTATAGTGAAAAAGGGGCAATTAAAATCCAAGACAATATTTAAATGCACACCTAAAATATTAATTAAATTATTATTTAAATAGTCTATAGCAGAATTGTATTCTTCTTTATGTTTTCCCTTTTAGCCACTCTTATTAGTTTGCTCATAAGGACCAGAGATCACGTCCTCTGACATGCAGAAGACGCTTGAATACCTATGAGATCTTCTATCAGGTTCACAATGGGCGTTTCCACACACACACACCCACACACACACACACACACACACACACACACACACACACACACACTTTTATTTTGAAATATCAATGTTGGGCCTTAGTTGAGTGCTCCACACGCTAAGACCCTATTTTTTTCATTCCTAATTTTTTTTTTGCCTAAAGTCAACGGCAGTGTATTTTGCCCCCGCTTTATTTAGGATTAACTCCGAGCTGCATGTGTCAAGTTGCCTCGATGCAACTAGACGCTGTCAGAGCGAATGACACCGTACCATTAATGATTAAGAGGACGAGTCCATTTAAAGGTGTGATGTAATTCTCTAATTGGCGGAGGGGTGGGCGTAATTAGATCATCCGGCGTGCTCGGGAGGACTGCAGCACCACCCACTGCCACGAGTCACTAAACGGTCAAATGTTCTTCAATGTGTTTGTTTTTTTGCTAGTGTGTTGGAAAACATTTATACATTCGAATAAAAAAAACAGTTGAGCATGCTGCTTTTCAAAGCTTCCATTTTTTCAAGGAACTAACCGCAATTGTATATAAAGTTTATAAACGTATTTAATAGCAAAACGATAGTATTGTTCTATAAGGGTCCATTTTAAAAGCCAATTTTTTGCATTGTTTTTAAGGCCTGACACAGGCATTCAAATCAGGTGTCTCATTTAACCCTCCTTAATGCATTGCAATGCAGGGAAGATAACATATACATTGGTAAGGATGTGATGATGCCATTGCAGTTCATTGGCAAGCAAAGCTGTTGGTATAGTCTCAGTTTTTTAGGAACACCTAGCTACCAAAAATGCAAATAAATGTTATACTCTTCAGATTGGGTTGAGCATATTTTAGAGAGATGTTATTTAACTATTTATTATATATTTAAATATTTACTAGTTCACTTTCATTTGAATGAAAAGGGCTTTAAATATTTTTGTCACCCAATTTTTACCAATGAGGGTAGACCAAATTATACTTCTAAGTAAAAGTCAGTTTCAATTGTTCTTTAGGCAGTCTCCAGAGGTTTGACACTAAACTGACAATTTCACCAATGTTCATATGCAATTGATTAATTGGTCATTGCAAAGTCAATAGCCACAATTGGATTTAGCAATTGAGCGGCCATTTTTGCTGTCTTTTAACCCTAACATAACCTTGAAACAAAGTTATAAAAGATAACAAAATATATCCCCGAATATATATATATATTTTTTGTGTTTGGTTCTGTAAGATTATTTGTGAATTTTGACTATACAGATTTTGAGTAAACAATGGTGACATTATGGCATAGAGCAGTTCAATCACAAGGAGGATTAGGTTAAAAAAAGGAAAGACAATTATTTGAGGCTTTATCTCACCAGCTTTGTTCCCATTGGGGTCACAAATATTAGCCAACCTGTGACTGACATTTACTGACAAAATGCATTTTCTCCAGATAAAAGTGGGTAAGGGAATCATGCTAAATAAGGAAGGCAGCAGTGGGAAAAATAAAATATGATAAAGGAGAAAACAATCTCTCTGTCAACCTTGTTGTGCAAAAATGAGACACTTTAAAACCATTTAGTATTTTCTTTGGAGCAGTAAGTATCACTGGGGAAAACGTTTTGCATACAGGGAAAATGTACGAGTTTATCTTTTCATTTAATTTTAAATTGATTACTACAATAAATATTTGTATTTTATAATTTCCAAGCTAGCAGCCCAGAATCACACAGACCATCCATGTGCCCGATAAGATATATTGTAAATTCACATTTAATTGTTTAGACATTAGAAATGTAGGTGACAACATTAAAGTTAATCTCATAATTGTTTGCAAACCAAAAAGGGTCTTTTGCATTATGTTATAAAGGAATTTATTAAATATACAAAATTGTAAAAAAAAGAAGCAATATGTTTAAAAACTAGTTTATCATCTTCCAGACAATATTTCTGCAACCCCATGTGAACCCTGTTGTTATATTCAAATAAATTGCCCTCTTGGCTATTGAATTAGCCTTTACACTGGTAAATAAGTGTGCAAGTGAGTTCTGAGGAGACTCTGTGAATGTTTCAACACTTGGGTCCACTGTGACCTTGCTTCTCCAGCGGGGGCCACCAGCAGAGGAACTGCCGGGACGAACTTCCAGTCCAAAACTCTCCAGGGAAGCACTCTGACAGGCTGACTAAATGCAGAGACCGAACAGAGAGAAGAGAAAAAAGAAAAAACACAAGGAAGGGGGGGTGAGAGAAAGTGTCGCACATGAGTGGAGACACAACAATGAGTGGGCTTAGGCTCTCAATCGCTGAGTGAAATGAGATCACATAATATGAAATATGACATGGAGATGGAAAACCAGGCTCTCGGTTGGATTTAGCTGGTCTTCCACCTATGAAAGAAAGTGGGAAATTGAGAAAAAATTAAATGTACGACCCACAAATCTTTTTTTAATCTTTATTCTTCTTCCTCTCATTTAATCCGCACAATACAACACAACTGAAGTCCCATGTCAAATGGTGCACCCTCTTGTCAGGTGTTTTTAATGGGAAATGTAAGGACCAATTTATCTTAGA